CCATATTCTTCTTTTTCTTATTCTGTTTGCTCTTTTTTACCTTCTTTTTCCTTTTTCCATTCACTATATCAGCTTTCATGCGCAATGCTTGTGGCTGATGAGTAATAGTTGCTTCATCATCAGATGATGAGGATTCTATTGTAATACTTCTTCGGCTTGAACTAGATGAAGATCCAATTCGAGATAAGTGCACAGGACATCCAGCTGTATCAGCTAGTGGAGGTGAAAATAATCTCCTTCGTCTAAGATTATACCTAAAATTAAAGAATAAAAATTGATGTACTACAAATAATATAAAAACAATTTATTTGACTTGATTAAAAAAATGGTAAAAAATAATTCAACAGAAAAATGATTTAAGAATTGTTTAATTAATTAATTTGAATATTGCTTGTTAGAACAGGGAAACTGTATTATGANAAATTTGAATATTGTTTGTTAGAACAGGGAAACTGTATTATGACTTTTCATAAATAAAATGCCATAATATAATATACATTGTTTTAGACCTAACTAACATTTTACCTTAAGATATATTTGAAGATTTGTCATTTAGATCTGAAACACCTGTATATGGTAAGACCTTACCATTGTCATAAGTTAAAATGACAAAACATAAGAAAATCATCACCAAATCTAAATATTTTTCATATTAACTTTTATAAAATAAAATAGTTACCTATTAGTAGGACGATCTAAGGAATTACGTATTCCTGTAGAAGTAGATGGTTGATCTCTAATTGACAAATCATATGTATCAACAGGTCTGAATGGTTGACTAAGAATTTCAATATCTGAATCTTCACTAGTACTCCTGCTTACCACAGTGACTTCTTGTGCATATTGTATTCTAGTTGAATCTGAATCACTTTCAAAATCAACAATATTTGTACCGTTCAAAGATGGCAGTGTCCTAACATTAGTAGGTGGATTAACAGGAATTTGTAAGTCAATGGTCTAATAAAAAATAATTGTTATAAATACGATAAATTATGCTATATTCAAATATGTTTAAATGGATATTAACTTACATTTATACCATTTTGAAGTGATGGAAAACCTGGGCGACTATTATATCTTACATTACGATCATAACCAATCATATCATTTGGACTAGTAGCATAATTATGTAGCTCATGACAAAAATGATCAGTATATTCACCAAGAAATGGTCTTAAAACAGCAGTTGTAAATGATTCACGAATTTCATAATTTATAATTGTTTGCATAATTATATTTGTAATATAGTCTTCATCATTCGGATTATCAGATCTTAAACCTTCAGATCTTTCTATTTCTCTAATGGCTGAAATATCCCGGACAATAAAACCAACCAATCGATACATTTGAGCTGGATTATCTCTAAAAAAGAAAATAATAATGAGGATAGTAATTCATACATACTAATTACCAAAGTATAATTAATTTTACACATAATACTATTTCTTTGCGGTAATAATTATTAAAGAAAAATTAAAAGGATAGTATCAGATTTAATATTAATAATAAACAATACTTTTATTAATTATAACCTCTTGTGTACCTATAAAATGCTGAACTGCAATCTCTAAAGCGACCACTTAAATCAGGCAATGGTACAGCCCAAATATTGTCAGTATACACACGAACTCTCATAGTTTGACCTAAAAATCAAATAATTATAGGTTAGAAGAGTTACATAATATTTAAATAGATCTATATAGGATCTTTATTCACAATACAGTTGGTACCATAATAATAATTATGGTCTTATAACATTTTTAAAGTGCAAATATAGAAGAAAAACTTATTTGGGGGCATGTAAGAATAGAGAATGTAGAGTAGTAGGAAAATTCACCCCTTTACTACTCTAACTACCATAATTTTATATCAATGGTGAAAGTTTAAACTCTAAGAACCACCTGTAAAAATGTTTTATTTAAATAACAAGAAAACAAAGATCAATAGATGTAGAATTTATAGACATAATTGAGAACAAATAAAAAATACTTTTAAATCAAAATTAATTTTTAAAACATCTTTTCAAAAGATATTTCATTCTAAAGTCTAATTCACATTGGAGTCACATAATTACCATGAGTTTGGCGACGTATAAGATGACCGTTAAAAACAGTAAAATTTGATTCCCCTGGAAATTGTCTTTGGTGATAATGAGAGTAACCACGATCTTGTTCACTTATTAGTCTTTCATTCCTTCTCACGAGATCCAACAATAAATTCATTCTGAAAAATCAAATTAAATTAAACATAGATTCCACAATTTTTATCATAATGGCAATATTGACTATTAAATTTTATTAGTATTTTTAAATATATAAAAAATAATTTATAATTATACGAAGTAAAATTTATAAAAATATGAAGCCGATGATATATTATTATTCTTAAACAACAAGTTTGTATGAAATCATAAAGAAATAATGAGTCATAATAAAAATCATTATGCAGGTTTAAAATATTAAATATAGCAGTTTATATGAAAAACATTTTTATATTTCAATTAAAATCGTATTTAACGTACCTATTAACATCAGCAAAAGGACGTAAAAATATTCTTTGTCTAAAAAAATAGAAATTTAATGAAATAAAAAATTTAAAAATATGCCATAAATTACTTACGATGCATCTCTGCCTTGAATAGGTACCTCATAAGTTTCATGAATGCCTTGTTCTATGAATGTATGATTTATAAATTTGAAACCTTTTTTACATAATGGACAGGATGATTCAATCTAACAGAATTAATAATTAACATAGTAATACTTAAATGTGGGTTATTTTAATAACTAACAGTTGACCATCGTTTTAAACATTCAAAACAAAACACATGCCAACATGAATCTGAGTAGCATTTATTGTTTAATTCTTCAAGACAAATAGAACAATGCGTTTCAGGTGTTTTTGGCCTTTCTATTTGATCACTTAGGTTTTTACCAACTTTTTTTGTTACTGCTAATTCATCATCATCTGAGGTATCTGACAAATCCACAACTGAAACACCTGATGACTCTTTATAGGATTCAGTCTTGTTATTCAATGACATATTACAAATTGCAAAACTATATTAACCTGAAAATATGTTTATTTAAATGACAATGCATTATATTAAAAGAATGTTTTGGTAAATAATATCATAATAGTTATATTATTATTATTCATGAAAGATATAGTGTAATATTAGATATTTCTGACAACTGATATTTATCAAAATTTCAGAATAAAAAAAATTATAAAATATGTTATTTATATAATTAAAAAGTAACCTTAATTTTATAGTACTTATCTTAAGTATTCATTCATAATAAATATATCATTTTACTTTCTAAATATTGACAATTATGGAACAACTGTCTTCGAGATTGTTTTCCAATTAAAAATATATTTTATATAATTATAGTCAATTATTAATTCATCAGCCAAACAAGTATAGCCTTATTTTAATAAAATAGAAAAGTATTCAGTTAATACAATTTGTTATAGAGTTCTTATAATAAAAATATTATACTTACATTTGATATAAATTCAGAAAAAGTAATAAACATTTAAAATAAAACAAAATATAGTACTTTGTTAATTTTTTTTCTTTAATCCCTCAAAAATATAATATGTTAAAAATATTTCAACAATAATTAATTTTAAACTTCAAATTTACTTACTAAAAAAAATAATTAATAAATGTAATATACTGATTTCTTCTTAAAATATTTATTGATTCTAAAAACCTAGCAATAAAATGTATGTTTAAAACCTATTTGTTATTTATACAAAAATATAAATACTATCTGGTTAATTAAAAATGATTTAAAATATTTAAGAATCTGAACTTGAATCATTAAGTTGAAATTTATTGTGAAATTGTTATGAAAATTATAATAATTTTTTGGTAAACGATATTACTTAATAGGAAGTTTACTAAATGACAATTTATTTCACTTTTTTGTGGATTATCAATAATATTCTTGTTATAATATACATAAATTATTATAATTTTTTAATTTTACTTTTTTTTCTTAAAACTGCCATAACTATTTGAAAAATAAACGAAAACAAATAATTTTCCTTATAACCTTAGGTACATCCCTTTTATTTAATAAAATTTTTTGGAAATTTGACCCTCTACCTGCCCACATAAGTAAAATCAGAAATAGCAATTTTTGCACAAAAATTTAATCTTTGAAAATAATTCAAATACTCCGAGTTTCAAACATATGTTAAAATAAAGCTTATATTAAGTACTATAAGTTATACTTAAATTATTTCTTTTTAATAACCAACGTTTTTCAAGTTTTACTTAAATTATAAAATATTATTAAATTATTTAAAAAATTAAATATCATCTTGTAAAAAAAAAAAAACACTTCATAGTAAATTTAATACTTTTTTTAGCTTCGCAACGATGCTAATAGTATGATAGAATGTTTTCATTGCATTGTAAAATGAAAACACAACTTATAAGTTATGTTTGTGTAATGTAGTTAGGTTTTGTTGATACCATATATAAATGGTATAAATACACGATAAACACGATTCAGTATCTGCGTATGCTACGTGTGCTAATAAAACCATTAAATGTTCATAATATTGATTTAATTAAAAAAAAAGCTGTCAATCCAGAAGAAGTATACGTAAAAAATGCCTTAAGACATAGATAGATAGCAAATAGACTATATACGGTCAAGAAGAAATTTAGAAATCAAGTAAAATACTGCGGAAGTTTTCCAAGGGCACACATAGATAGTGATCATAGACCAAATACCCTATTGAAAAGTAATTTATAGTTCAAGAAAATAGTATCAAAGAAAAACAACAAACGATGTTATATAAAAAAAATAAAAGGAAGAAAAGGCAAATCGACTTAACACCTTAGACAAAGGCGCTGGTCAGGCCGGCACTTAAGGAAGTCTGTATAATATATAATGAGGAAGGCTACGCAGTGTTCTGAGTTATAGAGAGGGCGTTAAGCTTTAAGTAATAATTAACAGCAGTTCCAAGGCGGTTCACAATAATGCATGTCGTAGAATAAAAAAAACAAAATGTCTTGCTTAACATTGACTTGCATATCATTATCCCAAGTTGCCTCATTATTAAAACCAATTATAATATTTACATAAAATAATTTCTCACCATTTCAGGATTCACATATTTTTCGTACTCTAAAAAAAAAAAATTGTGACAGGATGTGTTTTATTAAAAATTGCAAAATGAAATATAAGCCAAGTGTTATCAATTCACTATAAACACAATTAAAGTCTGCGCATGCTATTATACAATCATTAAATATAAATAATAATAATAATATTGAATAATGCACTTCTATTACCACTCAATTAATATATTTTATCTTTTAATATTTGTTAAACTATTTATTTGACATTGATAATATATATAATACTCACGTCGTATTATTTAAACATAGCGTAGTTCGCATTTGTCTGAAAAAGTAGATGGACATAAATGAAATTTAAATCGTGTAACATCATAGATTTTTCTAGATCTCATAAAACAGTTTTTTGTGACATACACTTTATCAGACATTCACAAAAAGGCATTTTTAGGATTTATAGCTGACACAACGCTATTAGTTTCACTTGAGCAATAATCAGCATTTTAGGTAAAAAAATCATATATTTTTATAGGGGCCAGTAAATCGTAAAACACATATCTCCATTGCCTAATTCTTTCCTTTAGCCTCGTAGGACTAAGATAATGAGACTGGTTCGGTTGGCGTCATAAAAATTTAAGTTACATTATATAATTATCGGTCACTCGCAAAAAATATGTAGATTTCACAAAAATTATAATGTTGCGACGCATATAACAAAAAAATCACTCGCTGCGGACAGACCTTAACACACATCGCCCATAATCGTTATAATATGACAAATTGCCAGACGTTTGACTCAGCGGTCCAATGGCGACGATTCATATAGCTCTTATAGTAAGGATCAATTAAAATTGAAACCTTACTGGAAATTGTAAAGACAAACTAAGTAATTTATATTTCTCAAAAAGCGATAATACTGGTGATGAGCAGTGCAAATGACTACAAAGAGAGAGAAGGAGTGAGTGTACACACAAATACCCTCTTTGGAATTTCTTTTAGACACATTTTAAAGCATGTAGTCAACAGTATATACTTCTTGAATTTTGAATAAATCTTATTGTGATTTCGATTTTTGTGTAAAAAACTAAAACAACACATTATTCATTTTATTTTATTTAAACTGATGTCATATGAAAATACAATCTCAAAATTATATTGAAAACACACCATTTATTTATAATATATAGTATTTAATATCAATATGTTATTAAAATATTTTTTTTTAGTCTTAAATTATTAAACAATTTTTTAAAAGATAAATTTATACTAGGTAAGATAAATANTTTTAATAATTTTTTAGAAGTTAAATTTATACTAGGTAAGATAAATATTATACCCTATTCAAAGAATTTATCAAAAGTTACAAATCTATTTAAACAATTGTATTATATTCTGCCTGAATTAGACTAAAAATTTTCTCTAACTTTTCTTTTAATTGCTCTAGATTTTTAGTTATTCTATGAAAATTGTATGGTTTTTCATTTTCTTGTTGTTTGGGAAATCCTTTTAATAATTCATTTATTAAATCTTGTGGTAGTATGTTATTATCCCAAAGATCGGAATCTGTATATGTATATTNGTATAATCCCAAAGTTCGGAATCTGTATATGTATATTGAAAGTTATATTTATTCCATTCTCTGAATTCTATAAAATATAATGCGTATTCTTTTGCCACTCCTTTTAATTTAGCCAGTCTATCTGTTCCATCATACTTTGCATTTATCAATAGGTCCAAGTAGAAACTTGCATTATTCTTGTGATCCAATTTAATCATTACTTTATTTATTTTATTAGAAACTTCTAATAACTGTCCCCAATATGATTTTGAACTACGTTGAATAATTAGAATTTCATAGGCATATACAGATAGCAAGATCATATACTTTAAAGATCGATCAAACATAATTTCTATTGCTTTATTAAGAGTTGATTGAAGAGTTTTTTCGTATTTCGTTGAATTATTAATTAAATCTTCAAGGGTTGTTGAAGATTTTTTAATAAAGTTCAATTTAACAGGATCATTTTTGACATAATTCCATAAAGATAATTTTTGAATACCTTCTAGTTGAGCTTTTAATTTTTCATCATAAATTGTATCGTTTATTAAAGGTGTATTACTATCTAGATTATTTTTCTGTAAAATATAAATTTAAAATTTGTATCAAATTGATCATTAATTTTTTTTTCTTTTATTAGTTTTTATTAAAAAAATATTATAGCTCCACAATTACACAGGAATTAGCATTAATTATATCTAACATATATTTTATAAGAAATTAAAATATTTATCACAGAAAAATTTTAATTGAGTCTTTCAGTTACAAAAAGAATTATGGCCAAATATTGTTATTTGGGTTCTGTTCAACCCATACGCCCCCCTCCCCTTTTAAATCGATTTGAAACCGTTATAAATTAAATCGTTTTCAATACAACCCAACCCAACCCAACCCAACCCCTCCTTATTAAAAACTTTATTGACGAACAAGATCGACAAGTAGGTCATGAAATATTAATGTAGTAATTAATACGATTAATCTATCTATTACAGTTGAATTATAATAAATTAATACTCGATATGTATTAAATTAAAATATTTTTCAACTGTTTCTCTTATAAAACTGATATATCTTAAAAAAAAAAGAAAAAAACCAGTGATATCAGATAACCACATAGTGGTGATTTGGCATAGTGAACTGATAGTTGAATGATTAATTAAATCTTTAAGTGTTATATAAGATTTTCATAGAGTTAAATTCAATAAGATTATTTTTGACATAAAGACAAATGTTAAATATCTTCTAGTTGAACTAAAATTATATACCATAAACTGTATCAGTTATTAAAGATGTAACGCAATCAATCAATATTAATGTTTTTTCTTTATTAAAAAAACAATCTGTACATAAAATTTACAATAAGTTTTTTTGTTGACTTATTCAATTATAAAACATTAATAGCGTTAA